AGTGTATCTTCATTGTGTGTAGACATTTTACCTGTATTTCTTCTTTTTAATAATAAAATGACCTTTATAAAAAAATTGCTACAAAACTCTTATTAGCTAAGTTCTGAATTACCTCTCCGCTTACCAAATTATTTTAACAGTTTATAGAATAGAAGGTAAATTTTAATATATTTTTTATCGCAACTCTTGCGAATTCATCCCTGTGACTGCGAATCCATTTAAAGACGATCATCATTTTTTCATTATGAATTTAATATGCGAAGATCATTTTGAGATCAGCCAATCAGATTAAAGCCCGCTATGCAACTGTATTTATCACGTGATACATATTTAAAAAAAAAATTTTCTATGGGGGTACAATTATTTAAGGATTCAAATTTTCTTTTTGAGGAGGGTGATTTGGATTTAAATCAATATTGGAAAGAAAAAAGGATTTTTCCAAAATAGCTTTGATTTATATGATGTTGAACGCAGTTTGCAGTTTTTCCAATTATAACACTTTTTATATTATAATAATCAATAAAATTGAAATTTCATCTTTTTTAAAATATAAAAAAATTTTTTTTGCATATTTTGCATTTACAGTAATTTTAAAATGCATAATTTTTAATTTTGCATCGCACGATCTAACATGAATCCGGAAATGTACAGTGACTGTTATTAAAAAAAATTATGCGCGATTCACTTAAAATCCAAAAAATTGAAAATGTCAACAAAATATAAAATATTAACCTTTCTCGCGAAAATCGCGGAAAAAAAAATCTAAATTTAATGGTACAAAAATTTACAGAATTTTTACGACGCATTATAAATAATTAAGTAATCGTACAATCTTCCGCTTTTAATCCATATAACTCATTATCTACTTCTTTTTTAATTATCAACCAATCCTCTCGTTTCTGGCAAAATTCATAAACATCTTCCGCACGTAAAACCCCATTGAACCTTCCTGCTTCTCTAACGAACAATCCAATATCACGTGCATTTGATATAATGTAAATATTCCCAAGTTCCTTAAGCGCGATAAAGAATGGTGTAATATTTTGTTGTCGTAGATTAATAATAAAAGAACAATAATGATTCAAATCACTTTGATAAAGTAAAAGTAAAATTTCAGAAATTTTCGTGATCTGACTTGTACAATTCAGTGAACTTTAATACTTTGAATGAATCTTACCTAATGACTTGAAACCCACCACTTAAGCTCACCGTGAACTTCATTAAATGTTTTGTTAAAATCCTAAATAATAAATATAGTAAAATAAATAAATAAATAAAATTAGAATATAACTACCATTGATATGAGAAGATAAACTTACCCAAAAAACTGAAGGCCAATTTCCTGGAAGAAGACATCTAAAGTATGCTTGTCTGAGCAACCTACAACTAATTTGGTGTGACTAGAAAGACATTCAACAGCATTGATACATGCCTTTCGATTTATGATGAAATAAATGATTCAGATTATTACAACCACCATTAAGATAAATAAATAAAAAAATATATATACAATATTTACCTTCGTTGGTTGCAAATCAAGTGAAGCATCACTTGCTGGCTTAAACTCTTCTGGTTTTTGTTCTGTAGCAAGAATAAATTCCACGTGATGCATTAAAACCTGGTAAAAATGAATATTAAATTGGCCTTTAAAATAAATTCATTTAACAAGTACATCGATTCGATATACCTGAATTCCCTTGTTTAATCCAGCAGCAACGCTTTCGTCAAGGACTTTTTCAAAGATTTTTTTTTCCTTATTACAATAATTCAAAAAATCTGTTTTATCCACATACTTATTCTAAAAATAGTCACTTGTTAAAAAAATTATGCGCTAATAATTTTAGAAACGATGTAGATGGAGCACTATATTTACCATTTCTTCATCATAATATACTTGAACCATTTGTTGGATTAAATCGGCAATATGAACCAACTCAAAAAATTCCAATAAAGGTGCAACGTCGGACGAAGTAGATTCTGGGTCCGATTTAAATTCACCTAGATGTTTAATGGCACTAATAAATAACGTAAAATGAGTGAAAATTGTAAGTACCTATAATTTTAAAAATCATTTATTAAAAATTTATCAAGGACTTACGTATCAAATCCTGGTTTAATATGTAATGGTCCTAGTGTCTGAAGAAGAATAATAAATACTGATTCCAAAGTTTCTTTACTAAAAGATAAAGAATTTCTTACCATCAGAAATCATTTGCAAATTAATATAAAATTATGGAATAAAAGTTACCCACATTCTGAATCCCATCTTATCAGGATATCCAACAAAAGCAGAAACTCTACGTAATGAATCCTTGTTCACGTGAACCATTTGCAAGGCTGTTTCCAAACTAAGCATTTGTTGCATCTTGTCCAATTTAGCATTCCATAAAGCCGCCTGAATATCTGTTGGGCTTAGCGGAGGATTAGAAGAAGCATTGCTTGAAACGCTAGCTCGTTTATTACGAGGAGTACTTGAACTGGATGATTGAACAGGTGAAGAATGACGTGAACGCTTGAAAATTTTTCGAAATGAGGTGAGGTAATTACGTTTGTAAACCTCTCTGTTAGCATTAAGAAGAATAGCCTGCTGTGCTTCCATCGATTTATTCAACAACTATTGAAGGTTTTAAGAAAAAGTTATTATCACAAATTCTACATAACTTGTATAAAGAAAGTACAATATTATCATGTTACATTGTCACCTTTTGATTCCATTTTTCAATTTCTTCTTCACTTTGTGCCTTAACATAATTCAATTCTTCTTTCAAATATTTGTCCATAAAACGTTCAAACATCAGGTACATAAGGTCTTCGGCTCTTATTTTAGTTAATCCAGGCTTAGCTTCTTGCCAAAGAACTTTTATGACTTTTAGGCAACGTTGATGAGCTGCCACAGTTGTCTTCAAATACAAGCTCATATCCCTATTGCGAGCTTCCTCCAAAAGTACTGATATGTATTCTATAATCTATCAAAGAAGATACTCGACTTATTTAAATTGAAATAACTAAAACTAGAATATTTATTCAATAATTACTTACAACATCCTCAACAACACGCTCGACAAAGGTATAAAATACGTCGGCATCTTGTGGGAATACTTGATTGATTAAAACAGCTTGCTTTTTTATTTCTTCTTCTACATATTTAAAAAATTCTTTCATTGAAGCATGACTTAATTCATTGAGATATGACGTTGATCCATATCTATTGAAGGAGAACATGTAGGATATGATTAGTCTATTCTTTTTTTTTATTTTATAATTTTCGTAGAAAACTCACGTAAAATTGTCCAGAGGATTATAAAGATGATCAAAGAATATAGAATTCTTTTGTATAAAAACCTGTATACATGCTGAGCCTCCATTCAGATTCAAAAGAATAGCTGCCCATTTCTTTTCATTTCAAAAATAAAAAAAAAGTATTTTAACGCTACAATAGACAGCAATGCTAATATAACAATTTAATTTGAATTTAAAAAATAAACCTGCATTTCCGCCGCATTATTGACATTATATGCCAATTCAAAATGGTGGAGTGCAGAGTTCTCGAAATATTCAATGGTGGTTTCAAGCGCACTATTAATCTATCAAGTATAAAAATGATCAACTATTTCATGTGAATAGAAATATTATCCCCTATAATATTCAACAAACAAACCTGTTCGGAATCTAACGTTATATTTATTTGACCAAAACTATATAGTCTTGCCAACATTTTTGCTTGATCTGCCGGATCATTATATTCTTTAAATAATCTACTATCCTTCCTTCTATGTCTGAAATCTAAATAATATGGTAGTAGTTCCCTATAAATCTTTTTGAATGCCGTTCTTGCAGCACCAGTAGATGCAGCACGAGACTTTTGAGAGAATGGATCAGAAGGAAGACCAGGGATTAAGGATAATGTTTTGTGAGTCTGTGCCGTCTTTATTGCAAAATCTAATAGATTTCCAGTATGATTAAGTGTTGTAGGCGAAGCTGGAGGTGAAATATGGTCAAATTCTGAACAATCATTTAACTTAATATCAGCTTTTCCTCTCACAGTATGCTTTGCATTAATGTATAATGGTTCTACAGGTGCATTCATGATATCTCCATCGTCATATGCTTTCCATACTCCTAGTGCTTTTAAATGTTTTTCCCATAGTTCATCATCATAAACCAACACTTTAAAACGTCTACATGCTCTTGCAAAATTTGGTAGAGATATAATGGGGAGATATCCAAGAATTCTAATCAACAGATCTGGTGGTAAAGTTTGTGGTTGTGACATTTGTGATGTCTGTATTGCTGGTGTTTTTTTCGAAGAGATTATACCTGGAATGACAGGAATGGGAAGATCGGAGGGAATTGCACCAAAAAAATCGAATTTATTCATGTTGATTATTCAATTTTCTTGGAATCTAAAAAAAAATTTAAAGTTCGGAATCCATTCAAATATAAGGTCGCGACAAATGTCACAGAAAGAGTTTGTGCCCTTTTTTTAGATTCAATTAATGCGTAACCGTTGTCATGCGCCATAATTGATGAAGCATCACTAAAAATGTAATTACCGGGTGGCTTAGATTTATAAATTTACGTAATCTATTTTTTTTTTTTTTTTCAATTTCGGTGGAAACATTTTATAAATGAAAATGAAAAAAATGTGTAAAGTTACTATGAATTGAGACTTGGCACTTGATTTCTGGGAATATGCTATGCTAATATTATATTTTTTAAAGGATTCAAAAATAGTTTAAACCAATGATTTACTTAAAAGGCTAAATTAGTAACTGTTAAAAAGTGATATCATCAACGAACGAAAAAAAACTTTGCCACGCTCCCCATTCTAAAAGGGATTCACATGAAAATAATTTTTTTATAAATCTATTTCATTTCCAAAAAGGCTTAGCCTTTAATATCGTATTAATAGTTTATAATCGCTAATAATAATTCAAAATATTCAGTATATTCAAAATTTCCCAAATCTCTGTTTATTTATTCACTTCCGAATCCATCTTTCAACGATATTTTTTTAATTGTGGCTTATCGCCAAGTTTCTTTGATGCTTTTCTTGTATTAATGATCATTGCTGTTGGCTCTTCAGGAGTTGCCAAAAAATAGTCCGCATCCATACAAACTAATTTATCAACAATTCCCGGAATTCCTGCACCTAAAAATTCTTCTTCTATATTAATTAGACCACGTGTGAATATTAAATGTTGAATTTATGGCTTTATGATGATTTTCGGTTAAAAGATCAAAAGTTTGAGATTGTGTTGACCCTCCGGAGATTGGATAATCCGTTGCGAGATAAAACGTTTTGAATCCCTTTTGATTTTTTAAGTTCCCAAATTCTTTTAATTAAGGCTTCTGCGCATTCTGGTAATTTTTCAACTATTGCCCTTTACATCCTCCAATGAATCGCCACATATGGCTTAATTTATTAACAATTGTTGAGGCCTCTTTAAAGTATTACTATACGGTATGGGTTGTGTAACCAATTAATTCCATTGAATGATTTGTTCCAACGTCAAATTTGATAGTGGCTTCGTTTTTAATAATTTCATTATTAAAATCATCTAGATCCATGAAATTAAAAATAAAAATAAGATATATTTTATCGTGTAATGCATAATATACTCACATCACATTTGCTCTGTGAACACACTCGAAGGATTAACTAACGTTTTTTTTTTTACTGTTGAAAATTAAGAATTATTGGTAATATATATGGATTTTATTTTATAATTAAAAGTGCACCAATACATTTTTTACTTGGTTAATTTATATTTCATTTGACACATTTAGTAAATCGTTTCTAAATTTGTTCCTTTTATAAGCGCCAAATAATTAAATTTGTTAGATTTTGTTACTATCCATCCAAAGTCCAGATTTTATATGATGATGATTTACATACAATACATTCATGTTACAGTTTTAACACTTATCAAAAGAAAGAATATGGGTGGTGTCATAGGAGGACTTTCACGTGATTGGTCGATCGATTTCAATTGAATTTATACAGTTTAGAGTACTTTTTGAGATTG